TTTTTTTTTTCTTTTTTTTTTTTCTTTCTTTTTTTTTTCTTTCTTTTTTCTTTTTTTTCTTGATGCCTTTGGCGCCAGGCTGTTTCGGCTCTTCAGGCTGAGGGCGCCGGTGAGGAAGTCCTGTGGCTGATAAAATACAGACTGTACGTCGACCGGGTAACCAGTCCAGAAATCATACCTGGATGTGGTGGCCCGTGGATAAACCATTGGCTAAGCAGTTGTGCTGGATGAGAGTGGAGTGTGTGAATATTGCCTGTGGGTGGATTCCTTGAGTGGCGTTGTGTGTGTGTGTGTGTGTGTGTGTGTGTGTGTGTGTGTGTGTGTGTGTGTGTGTGTGTGTGTGTGTGTGTGAGTTGAAGGACACTACAGCCATGCAGTGCGTGTGAGTTGAAGGACACTACAGCCGGAAATCATACCTGGATGTGGTGGCCCGTGGATAAACCATTGGATAAGCAGTTGTGCTGGATGAGAGCGGAGTGTGCGAATATTGCCTGTGGGCGGATTCCTTGTGTGGCGTTGTGTGTGTGTGTGTGTGTGTGTGAGTTGAAGGACACTACAGCCATGCAGAGAAGACCGGTATGGATCCAATTTTGTACACTGTGCCATGGCTATAGTGGTTAAGAGACTCGGCTCTTGAGGCTGAGGGCGCCGGTTCGAATCCGTGCGTGCATGGAGGAGGTCCTGTGGCTGATAAAGTACAGACTGTTTTCTGAATAAGAACACCACCTGGCTGTTCTGTTCTCTGACTTTATATTCAGTGAGTGAAGATGCTATGTACCGTTTTGCAGGGTCGATCTGGCTGATGCCAGATCAAGATGCTGAACAGCCTCCTGGGGCGGGTTGATCCACGGGCACTCGTGGTGAATGTAGTTTGCGAGAGAATGAGATCGGGAGTGGAGGTCCAGGGTGCTGGCCCGAGGATAGGCGAGGGCTAAGAAGAAGAGTGGGGGGGGGGGAATAGTCAGACCCCGCTGTGTCATGCGGTGGCGATGACGGGGGCTACTGTCTTCACCGGAACACAATGCACCCTCGTTTTCACTGCAGCGGACTGAAAAGATTGTATGCATGCATGCATTCATTATCAAGGTGCGTTATGTTTGGGGAAGACGGTAGTAAATTGGTTGGCAGAGGTATTATTTGCAAGTAGGTGTTGGAAACATACTACATAGTGATCAGGAACCTCCTTTGAGGACTACAGTCTTCCCCCCGAATACAACGTACGGTGATTATAGCTGAATTTGGAGAGATGGTTAACGGGTGCCCAAATATTCGCCGTTTTCATTGGCAATTGCGGTGCAAATTTCATCGAAAATTTTAAAAACAAACGATATGAGACCATAGTGCAAACATCAAAAAAGGAAACAGGCCAAAAAGACCGAAAAAAAAAACAAAAAAACACTATGAAACCCTAACACAAAGACACTGTCCGAGTCAAAATGAAGCGTCCAATGAAGTCAACAAAATGCCAACTTTTTCATTATTGATCCAAACATGTCAAAACTGCACACATGACGTACCCTAAAGCACATATATATCACACAAAAAGAAAAACAAGAAAAAAAGCAAAAAACCAGCACAATATGACAGTTTCAGTGCAATTCGGTGCAAAATTCGTCGAAAGGGTATCTTCATTCTAAATACAGCTATAACGACTGTATGCTGTATTCCGGGGAGGAAGGTAGGGACTGGATTGAGCAACGGATTGATGACAGGGGGCAAGAATCTGGGTAATCCATTGGGGGGATGGAGACCGCGAGTCTTGACTTCAGGACTGCGATGGGAGCAGTGCTGCCTGTTGATGACGTGAGATGGGGGTGATTCCGGTTGGCGGCCGGATGAACCGCAGCGTAGGGTCGCTGCGCCTGGTTTTCACGAACTTTTTCCGATGTATTTGGCTTTCACTATATCTTCCGGCCATACGGTCGCGTTTTGGGAAATTTGGGTTGAGCTTTTATTCTGCTTCTTTTGCTGTGTTCTTCCCTCCTCTTTCTCTTCTTCCCTTCATTCTTCCTTGTTCTTCTTTCGTCCTTCGGTTTGATGCATATTTTTAATTGTCTGGAAAAGGCTTCGACATCAACCAATACATTCATTTGGTGTTCCAAAAAAAGAAAAAAGGAAAAAGGAAGTCAAATAAAAATTCCGAGTGCCACTTCTATATTGTGCGCGGACTCCGCGGAGTTTTCAAAAGCAAATCATAAAATAATGCTTGGACTTTGGGATTGTGATGGCTCTTTCTGAGCTTGATTGCGATAATGTCGTCATCTAAGTGTGATACCTAACTTGCAGCCATTTCGAGGTGGTTATGACGGCAACCAGAATTGTTTGACTGTTGATGCGGGTGTTGGAATGCTGACTGCTCATCATAAGTGTCAACGAGTTTGCATGTGAGGTCCATGTTCTTGCGTTCTGTAGAAAATACGCACGGGTTCTGATTACTCTTCATGATTGGGCTGTGCAGATTCCTGTAAGCTTTGTTTATCGACGACCAGGGCAGGGTGATCATGATGGAGGGGGTAGAGGAGGGGGGCCACGCCGAGGCCGAAGAGGCCCAGGTGCAGGTCCGAGTGGGGGTCAAGGTGCGGGGCCGAGTACCGGGCCAACCCCTGGGCAGCTGGAGGCCGCTTTGCGGGAGAGTGTAGAGACTGCCCAGGTTGAGAATGCGACGAGGGAATCTTTGGCCATAGCCGCGAGCCTTGATGCGGCTGGATGTCCATCGGGTGCATCTACCAGTTCTGCTTCCAACTCTTGCGCATCTTCTATGTCAGCAGAAAGCCGATCCTCACCGTCCGGAGAGCCAGGTGCACCGGCATCATCAGGTGGCCATCGGTGGCTAGCTGCTGTCAGCTCCTCAAGAGGCGGGTCTATGCTCCAGGAGAGTGCGTTTCCTCCTCTGCCAGGTGTACAAAAGAGCACAAAATCTGCTGCAGGAGGAAGTAGCAGTCATCCTGGTGCCAGCATGGCGCAAATGCTAGCGAGTCATGGGCGGAATCAATCAGGGGGGGTGAAGGTGCTTGTGAGGGGCAGTTCTAGTAATGCTCAGGGTAGAGGAAGACCAGTTGCAAGCGATGGTTCTGCGCCAAGCTGGGGGGCGGGAGGAAGCCAGCGAGGGGCTGGCTCGTCAGCTGGAGGATTGGCTACATCAGCCGGAAGAGGACAAGGTCAGTACCTTGGGTCCGGTACAGGGCCTGGGCCTCCGCCGGAAGGTACGCGTACGGTACCTAGTGGTGGGGCCCATTCCAGGGCAGCCTTGGCGGAGGGTGCAGGCACTAGTTCTAATAGCCGTAGTGATCGACCAAGAGAACAATCTCAATCTCAATCTCAATCTCAATCGGATGGTGGCGTTTCCTCTCTCAGCAAGGACATCGATGGCCTACGTTATATGGAAGATATAAGATCCGCTAACAAGGCGCTCGTCGAGCGCATACGGGCTGGGTTGAATGACAATCAGGAACAATTTGCGGACTTCAAGGGCTGCTCTGCACGGTATAAGCGTGGGGAAATCAGCTCGCAGGTCTACTACGAGCACATCTGCCGACTGGGATTGTCGCATCTAGTTGCCGAGCTTGCTCGCCTCTGTCCGGATGTTAAGAAAAGGCAGGAGCTCCTTGCTGCACACGAAGCAGCAACAGTGGGTGGGAGTGGGGTGCCATTGTCTGGAGCAGGTCCTGAAGAGAGCTTTGCTGCATCAAGCCTTGTCAATCCTCAGTCGTTGCAGGGAGTTATCTTTCAAAGCACTCAGGCGGGGGTGGGTCAGGAAGAGTATCGCAGGTCAAATAGAGGCTTTGGAGAGAACGCCTTTGCGATCTCTTTGCGGGGGAAAAACAAGGTTGAAAGCGAGGAGGGCGACGAGTGGCTGAGTGAAAACAATGCGACACTTTTGGAGAGCGGTGGTGGGAGGGGTGTCTCGCTGGAGAGGTCTGGAGGGAGGAACAAGGCGCCGCAGATTAGCGGAGGGTCGAGCACTAAGTTGTTGAGATCCGAGGAGGAGAAAAGTGGACATCGCGATGGATATCGGAGCATAAGCCCGTCCTCCGGTTTGGACAGGTACCCTGGGGAGCGGTCAGGTGCCCAGAGCAGTAAAGAGAGTTCCGGTCATGCAGGCTCGAGTGGCGGATGGGCATGCACACTTTGTACATTGCATAATGGACCTGAAGCTGTCCGATGTGATGCATGCGGATCAGAGCGGGATTCCAAAGCGAGGAGGAGGAAACAAGGGAAGGGCATCCTGATTCATGTGACGGCGGGAGATGGGAGTGCTGTGGCGTGGGCGCATGGAGACCAGCGGCCTGCGTGGGGTAATGGTATCGCAAATGGGGTAGGAACGGCAAGCAGTGGTGTAAATAAGAAAGGAGGTGGCGGATCGGGAGGCATCGGAGCAAGTGGATGGGGAAACGGGGTTGCCGTGAACACACTTGGTGATGGGGGGTTGGTGTCGAACGGCGGAATCACGATCGGAGGCAGAGGTGTTGGAGCTGAACGGAGAACAGCGTGGGGAAATGCGAGATAGTGTTGTTGCAGTTGAAGCAGATTGGGCAATGGCGTGGTTGTTTGAGCATGTTATCCTCCCACTACATGCGGGTTTGCTGTATATGGAAGGAACAGTTTCTTCGGTGTTCCATCCTGAAGGTAACGATCGCTTTAGTCACCCTGTGGTTGATTGAAATGCCTGTTTCGCAGAGGTATGCCGTTCCTCGGAATTTCATCTTTCCGTTACTTCATCAATTGGTAATGCACGTGTGGTAGCACTTTGCCACTGGAAGCGTGTGATGATATGATGACCTGCAGATCTGCTGTGCTCTGCTTATTGATGGTCTGCCTTGGGACAGTCACAGTCACTCTGTAGGTGGGTTGAGAGGTAATAAGGAGAAGAGGTTGACTGTGCGCCTGTTTAGACTGTTCTGTTTGGATGGATATCCGGATGGAGTAGGCGTCTTGGTTTGTGGTTGGCGTCAAGAAATTTTGTAGGCGTGAGAGCTGAGCTGCTTATTGTGAAAAGACACCTGTCTCGCTGGAAAGAACTCGTCGTCATTCTTACCGTGCGGTTGCTGTTTTGATGTTTAGCTCATCGTGCTTCTCCTCTTATCGTATTGTTACTATTTTCCCAGCCTCTGTGTTTTTTTCGTCTTTTTTTTTTTTTTTTTTTTTTTTNNNNGTGTGTGTGTTTGTGTGTGTGTTTCACGAGGTTCTACTTTCCAAGTCGATGTTAGACGATGTTAGACACTGGTCAACCTGTATTGCGTATTTGTCCCTTTCGAAGTTGTGTTCGATATGCGGTTTTGTTCTGGATCACCGAGTCACTCTTGCAAATTGTCTTATCTCAGTCAGTTGCGGCTACTCGCACACGAACTAATGGACCTTGGTATGTTGGATATTGTTGATGGATTGCACTGCGAGGTAGCGTCTTGTTATGAGCTGTCAATCCAGAGTTCCTTTTAGTAGGGTGGGAGGTGGGGTGGGTGCACTCCAACACGTGAGTTCCCTTTAGTAGGGTGGGAGGTGGGGTGGGTGCACTCCAGCGTGTTGCAGGACAGCGTGTTGCAGGACAGCGTGTTGACAAGCACTGGGGTAAACATATGTCAGCTCGTTACCCCCCCACCAGTATTAGATGGCAGCCTATTTTGTCGTCTCTCCATTCTGCATGACAATAGTGCCGGGACTGATTGGTTGGCACAAAAGGCACAACTGACGCACAGCGGGGATATGTACCAGTGCAATCCTTTCAAAAATTGCTCTAAAGAATGAGCTGAGGCGAGCCATGGCTATATATACTACGGCACACAAGTCCAATTGGTTGGCACAAAAGGCACAACTGACGCACAGCGTTGATATGTACCAGTGCAATCCTTTCAAAAATTGCTCTAAAGAATGAGCGGAGGTGAGCCATGGCTATATATACTACGGCACACAAGTAGGTCAAGAGGCAGAAAGATGCGAGGAGGGGCGCGCTTGCACTATGGGGGACGCGAGCTCATGACCATGCAGGGTGTGAGCTCATGGCATGTTTATCCCAAAGGAGAGAAAGAACAAATGTTGCTTCCCGTGCGAAATCACGTCAACCTTGCTTGAACCATCAGAGTTGGTTACCCAGCGATGTTTTTCGAAGCTGGGATGCATACGAGTAGCCGCATCTGCATGTTGTTGATGAATGTCGTCATTGGCCTGTGAAGAGGGACGGGTCCTCGAAAACCGCGGTGCGCACCCGGCCATGTTGAAAGTGTGCTGGCGGTTTTTTAAGTCCTCTTTTATTGTTCGGGATTTGGCATCGAGGCGTACTTCTATCAGCAGGTACATGTGTGCACCATTTGGGATACGAATGCACTAGGTCTCTCCCAAAACCGCGCGATGGACACCGGATTCGTCCCTTGAACCACGAGTCCCTTTCTAGGACTACCTGACCAGATTTTGCTCCCTTGAACCACAAGTCCCTTTCATCCCTATTTTTGGTTTCAATCTGCCGGTCGAAACCACCGTGTTAACAGAGGCTAGGCCGACCTGACCAAAATGGCTGTGGCATGAGACAAAAGAGAAAATGTTTTGCACCCATGTCAGGTGTGTTGGGTGCTTGTTTTGGTGTGCAGCAACAATCGGGGTGGGGAAAGAGAGTGCAATGGCGCTCTGGGCCGCACGGCGACTCCGAGTTTTGCTTGTGGCGACAAAAAACTTTGTGCAAGGCTGGGGCCGCAAACTAGCGGTTTAAGGGATCAGCGAGCAGTGGGGATGAATGATGTAAATGTGCTGGCTGGAGTGTCTAGCATGCATGTGGCATGCTGAAAACATGCACAGCAGGCACTGAAGAAATTTGCCGGGTATAAGTAATTTGCCCAGGTGGATGAACGATGATACACGCACTCGCTGCCGCTTATGAACACGTCATGAGGTGAACTTCCGAAGTAGTCAGATCGATACGATAACGTTAGGCTTGAGCATATTTTCGAACCGACGCAAAAAGTCACTTGCAAACTTCAGAAGGTTGCTGAGCCAGCTCAGCCGTCAGGTTACCTGTCAAGGTTGGGTGTCCGCTGCATGTATCGGTGCCAAATGGTCTGTGCCCTCAATCCTCCTCGTCCCGATCAAGGTCTATACTTTGTGTCCATGGGAATTTGCTCTGGTTCGAACCAGTATTTGCTTGGTCCAACCAAGGCAGTACTTGATCGGTCGAAGGCAGTACGCGCTGGTTTTGCCCGGGTTTGAAATTTGAACCTATATACTCGATTATAATCCTGTACTCTATTAGAATCCTTCGCACTCGCAATGATCTGCCACAGTCCACAATGTTGCACTCCCAAAAACTCTGCACTTGACAATGCCCGGCTTGTATCTTCTGGCTCCGAAAATGCGGTTTCTTTTACTTTCTTGGTGGGTGCGCTGGGGCGGTTTTCATTTCTTTTGTGGCGGGTGCACTGGGGCGGTTTTCATTTCTTTTGTGGTGGGTGCGCTGGGGCGGTTTTCATTGCAAGCACATCAAAGCCTGTCCTGTTGGTCCTGCTAAATTTCAGTCCTTGCAGGTTTTACCTGTCCAAGCAAAGGGTGGCCGCGAGTGGTGAATTTCTTCTCCTCGGAACTTTTTGAAGGACTGTTTACGACGGCTTCTTTAAAAGGGGGGGGGGGGGGCAGTAGACCACCCCTTTTACTGTATTGTATCCATGGTATCCATCTGACTCCACTTGGGTTCGAGCTCTTGACTTGTAGGGAAGCCCCTGCTAACCAGCAGGATTGGATTGAGCGTTTATGAATTTGGATTGGGAGTTTATGAAAATTTGGATTGAGAGTTCATGAATCTGAACATGATTTGTGCAGGGGTGCTTAACCCCGTTTCAGTCACGATTTTCTGCTCCTCTCGACAGACACGTCTGCTTTCCCGGCAATTGTCTTGCTAATTGGACTTAGTTAGGCCCTGTTCGCCGACGGTTGCATGAGTATAGAGGTCAGCGGCACGAGCTGAGTGACATTGTTGAAGTGACAGCCAGACTGAGCCAGTTGCTTTGTGCTGTTGTCGTTGTTGTTGTTGTTGTCACCTTTTCTAGGAGCCTGTTCCTCTTTTTTTTTTTTTTTTTTNTTTTTTTTTTTTTTTTTTTTTTTTTTTTTTTTTTTTTTTTTTTTTTTTTTTTTCCGATTAGCACGATTTCTCTGACTAGCCTCTACAGTCTTGTGGCTTTTATTCCTGAAGGCTGCGTCTCTTCACACTTTGGCTGAGGCTCATCTATTGACGAGTAGTGTGACACCTGCTGGCAATCTTTATTTTATTCGTTTTTCTAAAGTTTTTTTGTTCTTTTGTTTTTTTTTAATGCGAAAAACCAAGTCTACACGCTAGGAGAGGTGGTAAATGGCACCCCCTCCTTGCCGGCCCGGCCACCTGGTTGCTCCAGTGTATTGGTGGGGAGCAGCACCTGCCGGAAAGCGGGTCCTGCGTCCCACTGTATATCAACGACCTGATCATCACTGTGTAAACCTGCCTGCCAGCATTGATTGCCCGCATTTCAAGTCTGCGACTCGGCCTTCTTTTTTTTTTTCTTTTCCCAGAAGGACGAAAGTCTTGAGATGCCATCATCGAATTGACCGGTCCTAGGTGATTTTGAATTACTGTAGTATTATACACATCCGGAGTTCGAACTCAGGTCTGCATTTCAACAGCTCAAGGCTGTACCAATTGAGCCAGGCCAGTTCGTTGTGACCCAGCCTTTCCATAACACGTGCACCTTTCTTTTTTTTTTTTTGGGGGGGGGGGAGGGTGTTAAGGGCGAACTAGCCCTAAAAACACATGTCGTACCTGTCATCGTTGAGGTTATATATCCTATTAAACAAAAGTGGCTCCATCTCCTATGTATCTTGCACACCATCGATTGGAAGATGTGCTTGCATTCTTTTCGTTTCGTGAGTTTCGTGGCGAGGCCCTTAGATAAAAAAAAAAAAAAAGAACTGATCAATGTTGGCTATTTTATGAACCTTGGGCTTGAACGATGATGACGAGAGCCAGGTTCAGCTAGACTTGCGTAATCCAAGGTGGGTTCATGTGAATCTGCCTTGACCAATTGCATGCCAGAAGTAAAATTTTTCATCTATACATACATAGTGATAATATAGAGAATTTGTCATTTTCTTTCGATATCTATCAGTACAAAATACAAAATCAATAAGATAGATATTAGACATATTAAATCAATAAGATAGATAAGATAGATATAATAATATGAATATTATGAATGCTGAGAAATTTCATTTATTTCATGCTAGATAGATTATCATTAGTATTAGCAAAAATAATAAATGGCTCGAAAACCAGCCCCCYCCCCCCCCCCCCCCGCGAAAAAAGAGGCATGATTTCTATATAGCCCTAGGAGAAGTGGTAGGAAGGTACGGAAAGGCAAAATAGGACACAAGACTTGTAGTTGGAAAAACCAAGGGTGCGAAGGATGGTAAAAAGGTGAAACATCCTACGAGGACGTAGCCCAGCTTGCCAAGTAGTTTTCGATGCCCTCTCACAAACAATGATTATGATGCTCATCTGGGCATAATTGTTGCGGAGGGCATCCAAAATATGTTTTTTAGGTGGCGGTAATTGTTGCGAGACCCAGAACGCATCCAAAACGACTTGGCAAGCTGGGGATCCAGCAAACTGGGATACCTCTTTAACCCCTCTTCTCCCTATTCCAGAGCTTTGTCATTTTCATAATAGTGTGTAGGCTTGGCCGACTAACTGGCTGGAAGAAGTGGGCTAGGGGAGTGCATATGGTATCATCACGGAGGTTGCCCTTGGTGAGTGCAAAGTATGATAAGCAAGTAAGCAAAGCGTAGGGTTCCCTGAATTGCCGTGAAACTCGTTGATGATGCAACGGTGGCCCATTCACCCGCCCAGTCTATTAAAGTGCCCACCAAACCGTGCAAGATGTCGTACATCACACGGCTTTCCAACTTGAGTAATGAATAACCTCGTGCATGATGGATGACTCCAATCAGGAAGTCGCCCGATATCATACAGTTACGACCCTGGTGAGTCTCTTCGAGTGTCTCCAACCACTCTGGTCAGACCTTTCTGCTCGAGCGAGCTTGTGGAAGTACTCCCTCCTCCTCCTCCTTCGTCTTCTTCTTTTTATTTATTTTTATTTTTTTAATTTTAAAGCCCAGGGTGTTGTAGAGACCAAGGACTAGACCCGCGGTGATTGCTGGTAGGGGTGGCCAATAGTTGTCCTGACAGGATAGGCCACCTACCCTAGCCATCCCCACGTTAATACTCCCGGAGCACCCCTTGTCCCTACTATCCTACCTCAGTGTGACCAGCACTCAGGACCGTCAACTTGTTTACGCTCTGCGGGACTGCACAATCGGGGTCACGTAGGGCCACCACTTATGTGCTAATCCATGATATCTCTGTATTGAATGCACGTTCTCGTATTGGGTGGTGTAACTGATGCTTGCTACGTGGAAGTCGGGACTTATTTCCAAAATGGCGAGGGGAAATTATGTGCGAGTGGCAAAATCGAGTTATAATTGCACTACGGGTCAAGATACAGTGTCAAATTGCAGTTCGGGCAATGTATACAACCCAGCTTTCTGGCCAGGTAGGGTGCCTGAAGTGCAATTGCGAACTGTACCTTGCCCCATGATGCAATTTTAACTCGTTTTTGTGACTCTACTGAAGTTAGTTATCCCAAATGTCAAAACTTGCGATATCTTAGTGGGCCTGTGGTCGCCTGCATACGAACGCAGAGTCGTTCCCCCACGTAAGCCGACTCTAGTAGAAAGGCATGGTGCGATCGATGTTTGCATTCTGTACTCAACAGTTGGACATTGAAAAGTCACATTGCTCTTACCAGGCCCCCTAGCATCCGCCCGGGTGTTCTCTCTACAAAAAAAAAAAAAGAAAAAAAAAAAAGGAAAGTGACATTGCTAGGTTTTCGTTTTTGTACGAGGAGTTTTAGATTATCTAAAGAAGGACGAGCGGGACACAGCAAGTGCAAGAAGTACCTCCCTCCTTTGCTGTTGGGCAAGGTGCTCTCCTTGGCTGCCAGGGTAAGGACGGCACGTATGGGCGAGCACAGTAACTC